TGGTACTGGTGGTACTTGGTGGTACTGGTACTGGTGTACTGGTGGTACTGGTACTGGTACTGGTGGTATGGTGGTACTGGTACTGGTGTACTGGTACTGGTACTGGTGGTACTGGTGGTGGTACTGGTAGGGTACTGTGGTATGGTAGTACTGGTACTGGTCTGGTGGTATGGTGGTATGGTATGGTGGTACTGGTGGTACTGGTACTGGTGGTACTGGTGGTACTTGTACTGGTGGTACTGGTGGTACTGGTACTGGTACTGGTGGTACTGGTACTGGTACTGGTGGTACTGGTGGTACTGGTGACTTGTGGTATGGTACTGGTATGGTGGTAGGTGGTACTGGTACTGGTACTGGTGGTACTGGTGGTACTGGTGGTACTGGTGGTACTGGTACTGGTTCTGGTGGTACTGGTGGTACTGGTTAGGTGGTATGGTGGTACTGGTGGTACTGGTACTGGTGGTAGGTGGTACTGGTACTGGTATGGTGTGTACTGGGGGTACTGGTACTGGTGGTACTGGTGGTACTGGTGGTACTGGTACTGGTGGTACTGGTGGTACTGGTACTGGTGGTACTGGTACTGGTCTGGTGGTACTGGTACTGGTGGTACTGGTGGTACTGGTGGTACTGGTACTGGTGGTACTGGTGGTACTGGTGGTACTGGTACTGGTGGCACTGGTGGTACTGGTACTGGTACTGGTGGTACTGGTACTGGTGGTACTGGTACTGGTACTGGTGGTACTGGTGGTACTGGTACTGGTACTGGTGGTACTGGTGGTACTGGTACTGGTTCTGGTGGTACTGGTGGTACTTGTGGTACTGGTGGTACTGGTGGTACTGGTGGTACTGGTACTGGTGGTACTGGTGGTACTGGTGGTACTGGTGGTGCTGGTACTGGTGGTACTGGTGGTACTGGTGGTACTGGTGGTACTGGTGGTACTGGTGGTACTGATACTGGTGGTACTGGTGGTACTGGTACTGGTACTGGTGGTACTGGTGGTACTGGTACTGGTGGTACTGGTACTGGTTCTGGTGGTACTGGTGGTACTTGTGGTACTGTGGTAATGGTGGTACTGGTTCTGGTGGTACTGGTGGTACTGGTGGTACTGGTGTACTGGTACTGGTGGTACTGGTGGTACTGGTGGTACTGGTGGTACTGGTGGTACTGGTGTTGTGGTGGTACTGGTGGTACTGGTGGTGCTTGTGGTACTGGTGGTACTGGTGGTACTGGTACTGGTACTGGTACTGGTACTGGTGGACTGGTGGTACTGGTACTGGTGGTACTGGTGGTACTGGTGCGGCCGGTGGGCCGGAGGGGGGGCGCCGGCTGACCGGCTGTCCGGGCCACCCGCTGTGCCGCCAGTTTTGGGCGGCTACGTGCCGTGCGTCGCAATACAAGAACGCCGTCCAGAGGGCCCTGGAACAGGGGACCTCATCAAACGAACTGGTGCACCAGTACTCGGACTACCTCAGTCTGGCGCTCACTGCCGAAGGTAAGATATTCTCTCTCTCTCTCTCTCTTCCTTCTCTCTCTCTCTCTCTCTCTCTCTCCTCTCTCTCTCTCTCTCTCCTCTCTCTCTCTCTCTCTCTCTCTCTCTCTCTCTCTCTCTCTCCTCTCCTCTCTTCTCTCTCTCCTCTCTCTCTCTCTCTCTCTCTCTCTCTCTCTCTCTCTCTTCTCTCTCTCTCCTCTCTTCGCTTCTCTCTCTCTCTCTCTCTCTCTCTCTCCTCTCTCTCCTCTCTCTCTCTCTCTCTCCTCTCCTCTCTCTCTCTCTCTCTCTCTCTCTCTCTCTCTCTCTCTCTCTCTCTCTCTCTCTCTCTCTCTCTCTCTCTCTCTCTCTCTCTCTCTCTCTCTCTCTCTCTCCTCTCTCTCTCTCTCTCGCTCATCACTGCTCAGGCGATCTTCACTCGGAGTTCATCCAACAGCTGCTGTGGAGTAAGGTTATAGGAAATAAGATATGTGCCTGCACTGCTTGTTTCGCGTCGCAGTGAATTCATGCGGCACTGGCTAATTTACTGTCGAATGGTATTTCATTCAGGCTGATTTGTTGGTTGTAAACAGAGGTGTGCACAAAAACGTGCGGAGGTTTAGATGAAACGGCCATTCCGAGGGCTTTGTTGGGTCAACCTCGGGTGACCCGGGGTGAGATCGGGTCAAAAGGGTCAACCTACGGTCAGGCTGGATCAGGCTAAGTCAGCTTAGGTCATACCAGGTCACCCCAGCCAGCAATCAGGGGCGTAGCCAAGGGGGGGGGCATAGGGGCTATGCCCCCCCCCCCCTGGAGCCCAAAGGGCCCCCATCGCGGTGATATACAGGGTGTTGCAGATAAATTGGGACTAAGTTCATGACCTTACAAAAAATTTGGTATGCGGAGGAACATCATGGAAATTTGACACAATATAATTTCAACAATTGTTTTCATTTGATATTGAAATTTTAATCCTAACATATCGCGCAGTCATGGAGCAGCGTCGGAGGGAAACGATTGGTGAGTTAGTTCGCGCCGGACAGAGCGCGAAGGACATAATAAGTTTAACTGGGTACCCAAAGTCTACCGTGTACCGAACTATCGCGACTGTAGGAGCTGGAGGGGATGTCGCTCGACGTTCTCACACACCTCGCAGTGACCGAAAACGGACACCGACATTCCTGAGCGGCTTGAAACGCTCGATACAGGCCAAACCGAGGACCTCGATGAACAAGCTTGCGCGTGCCCGTCACGTGAGCAAGAGCACCATCAGCAGAGCCGTGAGAGAGGACCTCGGGATGAAGTCGTTTACCAGAAAACGACGAAGCCTCCTGACCGAACCAGCAAGAGCGATACGAAGGGAGAGGGCACCGAAGGTCCTCAATCTCCTCAAGCACCTCGGGAGTGACGTCAGAGTATTTGTCGATGAGAAAAAGTTCATCGTAGAAGAGGTCGCCAACCGCAGGAACTCGCGGGCTATCGCCTACAGCCCTGATGAAGTGGCTCCCATGATGAAAGGCAAAAATCCGGCATCAGCAATGGTGTTCGGGGCCGTCGCAACTGATTGCCGCATAATGCCGCCCCATTTCATGCCTGCTGGTGTGACGATCGACACTGACGCGAATTTGACCATCCTGAAGGAGTCTCTCATCCCCTGGATGATGAAATACTATGACTTGAGCAAAGTCATGCTGGTGCAAGACTCCGCCCCAGCACATGCTTCCCAGAGGGTGCAAGATTTCCTGAGCCAGAGGATCCCCCTATATGTACCCAAGGACATATGGCCCTCCAACTCGCTTGACTTGAATCCATGTGACTTTTGGATGTGGGGCGTGGTAGAACAAAAGTCCAACTCGACCACTCCTGCCAACGTTTCTGACCTGAAGAAGGCCATCAGGAAGGCAGTCAGCACCATTGACCAGGACGAGGCCCGGCGCGCGTGCTCCGCTTTCCGGCGCCGTCTCGAGAGGGTGCGGGACGCCGACGGCGGTCACATCGAGTGACAAGGCTGTGCGTACATGACACAATACACGTGCGAAGTTTCAACTTTCTGTGTTTTCATTCACCGTATTAAAAGCATGCTGAAATTAGGTCTGAAAATTCCCAATTTACCTGCAACACCCTGTAAGTACGGTAAGTGTCACAATAAAAGTAGCGTAAGGGCCCCTCGGGGCACTCCACTGGGTTCGCGGGGGCCTTTCGGGCCTGAAACCTTTCCGCTAGGGCCCTCTGGGCTCTCTTCATTGGTTATAAAAGGGCCCTTCGGACCTGAGGCTTTGCCACTGGGCCCCTCGGAGCCCTCTCCATTGGGTTCGCAGGGGCCCTTCGTAATTTTAAAGGTAGTGTGCCAGCTTTCCTGGACCGTATGGAGTTAATGGCCCAGATAAGGAGAACCGGATTTTTAGAACTTATCCATACCTTCAAGCCTCATGGAAACGTCTTAAATTCTTCAAATTTTGAGTACCCCAGTGCGAAATTCGCCCCGACGGGTTGTCGGTCGTACCCCAACCACATTTCACACCACTATGAACAATAAATGCACACACTGAAATCGCTTTTACCGATAGGCTCATCCAATCAAGTTTCGATAAACCCGTTCATCATCATCTCCTGCGGTTTCGAACACGCATGTTCGGTGGTGCGGTAGACCGCGCCCAAAGCCAGGGCCCCGGTAACGTGAGGTAGCCGAGTCGGGGCAGCGTGCGCTGACCCAAGCCGGGGCCGCGCGTCCTCCCGGTGTCATGTGATAGCCCGGGGCTGCCCGCGGGGATGCGGTAGACCGCGCCCAAAGCTGCGGCCCCGGCTTGGGTCAGCGCACGCTGCCCCGACACGGCTACCTCACGTTACCGGGGCCCTGGCTTTGGGCGCGGTCTACCGCAGGTGGCTTCTGCTCATACTTTGTGGTGCGGTGGTGGTGCGTCTGGCCGCGCGCTCTGACTTCGGCCAAGAAAAATGCGTCAGCTGATCTTTGTCATTTCTGCCACTTTCATGTGGTGAGATGGGGTCATAACTTTAGAGACGGCTGTTTCATATCAATTATTTTACATAAAATAATATTTCAAACCATAAATTAATGTTCGACAGCCAAATTAAAGAAACAATACCAATACAGGCTTACAGTTTAAATTCGACATTGTGTTGTCTACGATTATACAGCTGATAACTCATTCCCGTACGTCGTAACTCTATAATGACCTTTGCTTATTGTCGCATGTGCGCCGCATTCGCGATTGTTGCCGACGCCTGTTTGCAGGTCAGCCCATTACAGTTGTTATACATATCGAAAAACCGATAAACTTTTAGGCGAAAAAAGCACTATTTTAGGCCCATTTTTGATTTTTTTTGCGATATTAGGTAAAAACAGAAGCTTCTTATCCTAGGAAAAATAAAATGGGAAATTATTGGAAGGTGGCACACTACCTTTAAGGTAGTTAAGCAAATAACTAGTAACTATGTCAGGAAATTAAGAAAACGTTGGACCCCTTCGCTCACATGGGCCCCTTTCGGTCTGATTGGCCCCCCTGAGGAAAATCCTGGCTACGCGCCTGGCCCTGTCAGGCGTTCAGGGGCCCCTTGGGGTCCTTAATATGCTCAGAGAGTTTTCCTGTAGATCAGAGGACCCGTCACGCGCGCTCAGGGGCCTCTTCATGCACTTAGAGGGCCCTGTCGTGTACTCAGAGAGCCTTTCTGTGGCTTAGAGGGCCCCGTGAAGCGATCAGGGGCCCCTCCATGCGCTCAGGGGGCCCTGTCGTGTATTCAGAGGGCTTTTCTGTTGCTAAGAGTGCCCTCGTCAAGTTATCAGGGGCCCCGTCAAGCGAAGTTAAGAAGTTGCCACTGGGGCCCCTCTGGGCCCTTTCCATTGGTTGTAGAAGGGCCATTTGGGCCTGAGACCCTGCCACTGGGCCCCTCGGGGCCCTCCATTGAGGAGCAGGAGCCCTTCAAGCCTGAGACCTTGCCGCTAGGGCCCCTCTGGGCCCTCTTCATTGGTTATAAAAGGGCCCTTCGGGCCTAAAGTTTTGCCACTGGGCCCCTCGGGGCCCCTTTCCATTGTGTTCGCAGGGGCCCTTCGGTTCTCTCAGTTCTAACATTTTTTCATTTTCTAATTTTTTTAAATTTATTTGGGCCCCTTTCAAAAAATAGTGGACGAAATTCGATGACTTTTTGGATTTTGAGGGGGTTTACCTTGGGCCCCTGTAAGTTTGGCCCCCTCCTGGAGGAAATCCTGGCTACGCCCCTGCCAGCAATTCGCTTGCGCTGAGCTGCGGCAAACGTCGGGTAGCTTGGGCTTAGCTTGCGTTTGCCCACTTTGATCAAAAGAGTAACTTTGATGCTTTAAAATATATGGTATGCTGGCAGTGGCGGATCCAGGGGGGGGGGCAAAATGAGCATTTGCCCCCCCCCCAACAGCTTAATTTTAACATTACGCCTATGGACGATGCAAGGAAAGAATCGATAAATTGTTATGGTTTACCCCCCCCCCCCAAAAAAAACTCTGAGCTGGATCCGCCTCTGTATGCTGGTGCTGATTACGTTTTGTTTGAGTCTTTCGCATGCTGGCCCCTTATGCACTCAACCCTACCATACGCTACACAACCCTACCCTACCCAGAAGCTCTACTCAACACATACCAAACCATCCTTTACTTCTTGCCTTACCCGTAAGACGCTGGTTGTATCAGTCACCACCGCGGGTAAGAAGATGCTGTCGGAGAATCCCGCGCAGCACTCGTGCGTCCTCTTGTCTTCCTCGGGGCTGACACTACGTCATGTCGTGATAAGAAGTGGAAGCAGCTGCAGTGCGCAGGTGACAGTACCTGACATGTTTCTGCAACGCAATCAAATCTAGTGAATACAACAGTGAAATGCTTACGTGTCGCTCTGTGTGGCTTTTCCCCGCAACCCGCCACGTGGAGGCTGCCACATCGGATTGCGTCTCTATTTAACGCCCGAGACCCCTCACCGGGTGCAGAGCACACACCTCTGGTGAGGGAAGACACGGCGGCCGTGGGCAGCGGCAATAAGGCCCCC